TAGTCTTCCGACATTTCAGAAAAAGGAAGAGGAACATTCCTCTTAAGTGACTTGTACTGTCTGTTTAAGCGCTTAGTTACTACTAATTCTAAGCTAGCAAGTTCTTTAATTGTTTACAAGTTTAGGTGATAGATAATGTGACTTCCTAGTCAAGCCCAGCGCCCTCTTTCCTATTTTTCTTCCGTAATTTAAGGAAATCCTACACGTTTCCATAGCACAGGCCATCGAATCGTTACTTTGAGAGGCTGTAAGAAGAAGGAGTTTCCACTGAGCTTTCACTTTACAAAGTTAGTCGTCAAAGTTTCAGTAATCTAAATACAACGCAAATTAGAACGGTTTTCAAGGAAGTCTTTATCATTCACAATTGTTTTTATTATCTCTTTTTGCCTCACTTCTCCTTGAGGTTGGCTTACGAAATTTCCTTTAACCGCTCAACCAGTCATGCGTAAAGTCATATTCCATTTCCCGCGCTTCCATTGGCTTACTTGTATTTGCTTTTTTGCCATCAACGGTTCGTTGCTTTATTTGTGCTGACTGCACTTAGCATGGTGATTGGTTTCGTTTTGTTTTCTGACACTCAATTGATGAAAACCGTTCTTAGTATACTGGTTTAGTTGTTATGAGCGGATTATATATTTAAGGCTCACTCTCTTGTTGTTAGACTCAGTCAAACAAGCTGCATTCTATGACTTGTACTGCCATCGTAACGCGTACAATTATAGTTGTAAATATTCGTTTTTAATTAGGGTCTAAATAAATTCCGTTTTGTCGAAAGACAGTGAAGGTCAGTGAAACATTCTAAGTTAAAATGAAGAACAGTGCGAATTTTAGTGCCCCTCTTATAACTAACAGACAGCAGAAAACTCGTCACTTCCTGAGGTTTTTGAAAACCTGGAAAAAGAAATGCAGGTCATTTACGGCCATGTTTGCTGGTTGGTACGTCAGATTTCAGTGCCTCACGGTTAGATTTTTCTCGGTTTATGTTCTCCCTGCAAATTTTTATTTTTTCTGTCTCGTAGAATTAGCTATTAATGGCATTCAAGGATTGATATGTTTTGGATTATCAATTTCAGTCTGCTACTGCTTACTTGTCTTAAGCTCAGTTCGCGCTTTTGTTAGTGAGCGCTTCCCAGGGATTTTGCGAAACAGAGAACATGATATTTTATTTGAAGGGAATAAGGGAAATTGTTAAAATTAATTTGAGGAACAAGGGATATCTCTATTGTTGACGGGACTTTGTTAATGAGGGACAGGGACAAAATGCAAATAAACACCTTTTCACTAAAGAGGCCTCCTTAACAGTCAGTTTTATGAAGGAGACGGGTGTTCTTTTTCAGTGTACAAAGTTATAGGAATTTAGCTTTTTACTTAGTTGCTACTCTCGAAAGGAAGTTCTTCTACAATTTAAAATAAAGAAGCCAAATAATGTATCATAAATGGCTTGCAACTATAAACCCGAATAACTTGATATGACAAAAGCATGGCGGCCATGTTGGAAGACACAAACAACAGAACAGAAGTAGCATTCTTCTGTCAATGCATTCTAAAATGGCGATGACGTCACGGGAAAACTAAGAATTGGTGAATTACCCCTTGTAAGCTTCGTTTGTTTAATGCCCTATTTTAGATGATGTTATTCTACAGAATTTTTATTCTTTTAATTACTGTATCATGTATTACGAAAGGGCCTATTCGGGAAAGGTAACTAAAAACAAGTCGCTAAATGGCTTAATTTTTTCGTAAGTAATTTACATGTAACTTCACCGGTATAATTAGCAGTTGTTATGTCATATTGCACTGTGTGCAATTTTTATTCAAGTGGATTTTGAATTAGGTTAGTCAAAATTGTAGAAAAATATATATTAAATGAAACTTTGTTTAACTGTTAATGTTAATTTGTAATTGCCCAGCAAGGACAAATTAATTGCCATTGAAAATCACTCTTGCGGACTTAAAACCAAACTCAAGTGGAATAAGGGAACTCCGATCGACATGAAAACATGATTACGAGTGTAATGTCGCTCTCAAAGCTGTTGTTCATCTTTGCTGCTTAACCTACGATCAGTCGAACCCCCTTAATCAACAAAAAAGAAGAGATAAGACGTAACACGCTGACTTGGCCTCAGAGTGCCGGAAATCAGAAATCCCATTTCCTAGGGCCTCGAACCCCCTTCTCTTAAATCCTGTATCTGCCTTAGCTCCTTCATTCAGTGGATAGTGCCAAAAAAAGAAAGAAATCCAGTTTGAAACATGAAGTGATCCTGAAAGTGGAAGTAAGTGCTGCGGAATCAGTGATGACGAAATGATTGACAATGATCTATTAACTCACCCGTAAGATGCCCACTGACACCAAAAGTGGATGAAGACCNAATCAGTGATGACGAAATGATTGACAATGATCTATTAACTCACCCGTAAGATGCCCACAGACACCAAAAGTGGATGAAGACCAGCACGGGTTATATCGGATTACTGCAAGCAGATGCTTCTTGACAACCCCTCCTTTCCAGGTCTTGGGCGTCGAAAATTATTTTTAATAGTTAATTGCTACGAAAGAAAATGACTACCTCTTCCGGAACCCGTAATTCGAACGCTCTCTATTAAGGGGTTTCGAGGGGTAGAAAATTCAGTCGATCATTTAAATTCTTTTCTTAATTAGCTCTTATTAACCGAACAAGAGGTCTGTATGGGAGAATCTTGACCAAGCTCGTGAGCTCGTGACTAAATGCAGTGAGGTCTGTACACACGACCGAGGTCAAGATTCTCCCATGTAGATCGAGTAGGCTCGGTTAATAAGATGTTTGTTGTATGGCGAACAAGAAAAATTAAATTTGTTTAATGTAACTGGTTTGTAATATACACTAGCTGACATTTTGCTTTCGAACGGCGATGAGCTGAACTTATATCTGCCATTGATTGCTCGTCCTCTTGACTTTTTTTCTCTCATAAGGCTATTTGGCACTTCTATAATGAGAATATTTTCTGGAAGTAATATTTTTAGACGACAAAAGTCAATATTTTTCAATTGTAGTTTACAACTTTTTCTTCGCAAAATGTGACCGGTCGAGATGGGAAAATCCAGTATAGACCACGGTCAATATTGATTTCAGTCGATCAAATTCGTGAATTTAGTAGTTACCAGTCCTTTTCAGACACAGCTATATAATAAGAGAGGATTGCAAACTGAACAGCTTGAAATACGCATACAAATTTGTAAAATTAATGATGTCTGTCTCGCAACAAAAGCTAAGGACTCGCCAAAAAAAAAATTCGGATAAGAAGATCAGACTTACTGAAGAACAAACTTCAGAAAGTTTCAAGACTAATCAGAATAGTAAATGGTTTGAACCCAGGAGTATCAGTAGTTCGTATAGTGTGATCGTCTGGGTGAGTGTAGTTCTG